TGTTTTTAATGAGTCGACAGAGTATCTTCCTATATCCGCATATGATGACTTAATATCTGATTTTTAAGATGATTTTTCATTTATGGGTTACCAATTGTTAAAATTATTTGCCATTTTTTAATCAGAAGCCATGTTATGAAAATCTTGCTTATGCAATCATAATTTCACTTAATTTCACAGTACCTCCAACAATGTCAATAGACATGTTCGTTCCAATCACTGACATTTTATGCATTCACTTACGAACAGTTCAAAGCACTTTATAAATAAAAAACAAGTAAGCAAAGGCTACAGTCGAGCGGGGCCGACCGTTAAATACCCTACAACACTATAATAAACAATACAGTTTATATAGGCGAGATACTCGAAAGAATTCCACAAGATATTGTGACAAATTATAAAAGAAAACCATCAGGTTTCGTTCTCTAATTTTCGAATAATAGCAACCTTAACTAATTTGCTCATTTCCAATTTATTGGTAGATGTTGCACTTAAATGGTCTTCCTAGATCTGGAACCAATATTTCCCAAACACCTATAATCTCTCAGAAGTGGCAAAAGATTAACATTTATTATTGGTTTTTGGCTGAAACTCATCTATATGAGATACAGACACTTGACTATATTCTTCAACGAAATCAGCGTTAACGAAATAGTCAGAAGTGCGTCTTTCCTGCATTTATGAATTCTCCAAAAAGTCTCTGGAATAGACATTTTCGTATTTTGTCTATAAAAGTTGGCAAACTATTTCACACATTGAATATTTTTGGATGGCCATCCAAAACTGCTTGGCTATTGCAATGTCCGGTAACCCCCTTTCAAATGTTCGTGAGGATCGGGCGATAATTACGACCTGCCGAACAATTTTGCAGTTTTTTTGGTCCATTTCAACCCCTAAATATATGGCGATCATCTCCAAAAAGAGTAGGCTTCTATTCTGACCCTCATCTTATCCCCATGCAAAATTTCGTAAGGATCGGGCCATAAATGCGATCTGTATATGATATCCTGATATCCTAACTACTTAGTTTTGTTAGCTGTAGAAATATTACCAAATGTTTAATTCAAAATGAAAATATGCCAAAAATGTGACAAAATTGAAAAAAATATGAGAAAATGTTACAAAATCAATATTTTCACCTTTAGAGAGATATTTTTATGCGATTTTTTAGACGTTTTTTCTTTCCTGCCAAGAGGCCATTCTGAATTAATGAGAACTGTCGAAATCAGTTCAGCCGTTCTCGACATATATGAGATCTTTCAAGCATATCTTCTTTGATAGACATATATATCGCACATATTTTGCTATATATCCGATTTGTTGGATCTTAACATCAATGTAAAGATCAGAAGTAACCTTGTCATGGCTTTGTGATTTCGCCGGGATTTAAAATATTCGCGGTTTAATGAAAAATTTTGAATTTTTTCAACAAAAAAGGTATGGTCTATTTTACCCGCTAAATATTATCCGATGACCACCCAAATTGGTAGGCTTCTTCCCCGCCCTAAACTCTAGCTACATGCGAAATTCCGCGTCGATTGGTCTATAATTGCGACCTGTATAGCTACTGCAAAATCCGACATTTTTTCAGTATTTGGTCCATTTCAACCCCTAAACATTTGGCGATCATCTCACAAAGAAATAGGGTTCTATTCTGGCCCGACCCCGACCTCCATTCCAAATTTCGTGAAGATCGGGCCATAATTGCGACCTGTAGAGTGATTACAAATTAACATGGACAGACGGACAGACGGACGGACGGACATACATAGCTAGATCGACTCAGCTCGGCGAGATAGGATGATCCATATATACTTTCCTATGTGGGAAACCAATATTTCGAGGTGTTACATAATTTTTGGGCCAATCAAACTTATAATACCCCCAACACATAGTGTTGTAGGGTATAAATACTTAATGTTTTATTATTGTTAAAATTGAATTCATGTTGACTCTGTTAATGTGCAAACAAGCCAATTAATTTGACAATAAACATATGGATGGATGGATAGGTAGTAACAAATGATTAAAACATGTGTCTTGTGCGTGCATTTAATGATACGAGCTCGTAACGAAAACTATTTGATTGACGCTAAACTTAATGCACCTTTTGAAGTATGCTCTAACATAGAGGCTGAGATAAAAAACTGCAACAAAGTAAAACGCCATAATTTTCACATTTTCTTTTTAATTTTATTGAATGAAAGCAAAAAATGTCGAAAATAGCATCAAATATTAGAATAAGTTTAGATTTGTGCGAAATGGCCTTCAAAGGGCCAATGGGCTTGAGGTGATCGACACTTTGTTATTTCTTAGTGCCAACCTTGCTTTCCAAAATACTCCAGACACAATAGTCGATTGGTAATTGTGCGCTGGAAATGAAGCGAAGAACCTCATTTTGTAACCATTCTCGAGTGTCGCGTGCTAAGTGCGATGGTGCTGAGTCCTGTTGGAATGTCCAAGGTCTGCGGCCAAAATACACCTTCCAGAATATTTTTCGCGATAATATTCGGCATTTATTCTGAGGCCACGGTCGATTAATACAAGCGGAGAGCGACCTTCGGCTGTTATGGCGGCCCACACCATCACCATGGCCGGCGATTGAGTTCTGGTGGCCAACCGAAGGTGCATATTTTCAGCTGACCTCTTTGGCAAGTAAACACGATCATTTTGTTTATTTACAAACCGCTGAGCAACGAATGTTTTCTCATCGGAAAAAAAATTAAATTTGGCAGTTCACCACTTTCGGCCAACCGAATCAACTCTTTAGCTCTTTTGAGTCTATTTTCTTTCGGTTGTTCTTGCACGTTTTGGAATTTCAATGGCTTTACACCGAGCTCATTTTTAAATATTTGCCGAATGGAATATTGCAAAATGCTCAGCTCACAAGCCATTTTTTGTCCACTTCAACGCGGATTTCGATCAAGTCGCTTCTTTACTTTTCGAACCATTTTTGATGATGTTGATGTTTTTTTCCGTCCACTTCCTCGACGTCGGGCTACGCTACCAGTATCACGGTAATGAGCGATGGTACGAGACACAAAGGATTTATTCAAAATTAAATGCTGGAGTGCTCTAACGATAGCCACTTGTTGTTTTTCCTGCCAAATATAAAGAAATCACACTATCACGCTTGAATTCCATCTCGAATAACTTTTTTTTTTCTGAAAAATTCTCACAAAAATTTTGTAAGCTTGTAAACAATATAATGACCTGTCATTGGAATAATTTTAACAGCTGTCGAACGAGTGGCTTGGAAATTAAAGCAGTCTGAATTTGGTTGCAGTTTTTTCATCTCACCCTATAGTTACTAGTGATTATTGCAAAAATGGTTTTGGACTTAGTTCAGTGTTATTGAAATGGTGATATTTAAAAAAAAAACTGTTGTAAATTTCGACAGGCCTTCTAAAATCATCACAGAAAATTGGATTTACCAACAATGACATTATTCTGTCTTAACCGAAATTCCAAATTTCCCCCAAATCTGGTAATGTGTGTTAAACCCTTGTTAACCATATCAAGAATAGTTTTGGAATTTGAAACTAAAAACATGCAAAATAAATAAAATGGTAGAAAATATGAAAAATCTCATTGAGAGACATCTGTCAGAATGAGAATATCCAATATTTCAACGGTTTTCCTATTATTTATGACATTGGTAGTCTTTTGAGGGGAAGACTATAAGCAAAGACACATCTATGATTTGTGTCTTTGCTCTGAGGTGAATTTCGAGTAGAAATGGTTTTTGGCTGGGAAAAGTGTATTATTGTTGGAAATTGCTACTGACTACGGTGGTGACACCATCTATTTGCCAAAATGAGCCAAGAAGTAATTTTATCGAAATTACGGTCCAGATTTAGATGTAGCTCCCATTTATATCATTATCCGATTTTAAGTTTACTGTGCACCAAATCGTTAATATCAGCCTAAACTAAATACATTTTAATACATATGACAAAATTCGGTCGGGAAAAAAGTGTGACAAATTTGGTGACACACTTGCTATAGGTTCCATATATATTATTATACGATTTTGTATTTAAGCCCACCACACCCGTAAAATGCACTCGTGTCTTTAAAACGCATAACTCAAACCATTTCAGTTAATTGAAATAATGTTTTGAATTAAAAACTAGTTGGCGTAGACGAGGAAAAAATCTCAAGCCTCGGTCGAACAACTTTTGGCGGGTTTTATAAAAATATGGGACGAAAAAATCGATAATTCTCACAAAACTTCCGAGTCGGTTTAAGTAAACCTATACATTTTTGCGGACGCATATTTGATTTCATATCATACCTGCAGCCGGACTTCGGTTCAAATATTAGTAGACCGTGCCGTCCCCCCAAAAAAAAATTTCCGAGATCAGGGAATATATACCTATCTCTGGACTGGAGTTGATTATAGTAGAAGAAAATTGGTAGATTCATCAACACTTGGGAACTGTGATAAGTCAATAATTTTAGGATGTTTTTTAATTATGTAGAATTTTATATGTTTCTTATACGAGCCAATTGGAGGTTGTTATGATTTGCATTTTCAACTATTTTTACAAATTCGAATAATTTTTTGTTAAAATTTCAATTTCCAGTCCCAGCAGCTGCTACCTGCATTCTTATACCGTCATAACTTTGAATAATTTTTCGTTCAAAAATTTCAATTCCCAGACTCAGCAGCTGCGTCGATAAGACTACCTGCATTCTTACACCATTATAAATTTGAATAATTTTTCGTTCAATAATTTCAATTCCCAGTTCCAGCAGCTGCATCAATGCGACTACCTGCAGTCTTCTACCATGGAGTTGACCCAACCAGTGTCGTGTTCCTCTGGCTTTACATTTTTGCATAGTAAAAGAAGACGGACAGACGTGTCAAGGCTGGTGAACATTAATGTCCACATTTTTAAAAAGTTTGTTTGGAAGTTGTTTTGGTACGTATTTTTTAATAACTTTAATTCCAAAATTCATTTCAAAGTTCATTGTACCAGCAGCTGTGTCAATGTGGTAGTCTCAAATTAACTAGTTCCACAAATCCATTTTGATGAATCTTCCAGCTGTTTGTGTTTTCCCTATGTTTATTTCGTAAACAGCAGATGTTACCAGCATTATGCATTATTCTCATTCGTAAACATTATCTTTATTCATCAGCCGGCCAAACGTCAGGTTCTTGATGGTGTTACTCCCATCAAACGTATAAAAAATAAATATATATTGCATATAGGGACATCTTTTACGAATAAGGAAGCGATTACAATCAAAAGAAGGTGTCTTAAAATGTTTCCATCAGTCAACAAAAGTTTATTAACCGCCAACATTTTGCATTTCTACAAAGATGTGAGCTGTGAAGAAGATTTAGAAGATGTTGGGAAATATTTTGAAGGTAATGGAGCATTTAATATCACCGAAATTGTTAGGAGGACTTTTCCAGAACATGAGACCCCGGAAGCTGTCTTAAAAGGTAAGCTGTTCAAAGAGAAATGCTAGCTTTTGAATTTAACAGAACTTCATTGCATATTTAGCTATGGACGCTTTCAAATATGAAGATTATAAACGACGCTATACTGCTATTTCATCGATATTCAAAAACACACCAAAAATGTACCAGCAGCTACAACCATATGCCGAAATGAATTGGATTGGTACAAACAGCTCAATTCTTACGAAGTTAATAAGTGAATCTAAAGGCCTTAAAAAGAGCAAAACTGTGGAGAATATATTGATATTGACCTCACTAATGGAAAACGCTCTGGCGAACATCTATTTTACTGAAACCAATGGCAAATTTCCACCACATTTATTGCGGGATCTGATAAGCACCCCGGAGATAAGGAAGGTTCTTGGTGCAGAAATGGTAATTACTAATTTTGGAAAATGAAAAAACAAAAATATTAAGCCATTAATTCCACAATTACAGTATAAATCTAATAAACTATGAAAGTAGGGCTAAACATAGAAGACAAGGTATCGGCGTTATTAAAGTTTACATCGCAAAGTATGTTGTAGGTCATTCACCTGTGGCGAAAGCAACAACAACAATTTTTGCAAAAAGAACTGAAGTGACAGGGTGACTCAGATTAAGGGGTGATTAGGCAGCCCCATGATTAATAAATAAGTGGGAGACTTGTGGCGCGGCACTTTTAAATAAATTGAAATATTGAGAAGATTTGGAAGAAAAGATTTTGATGGTTAATAATGAACGTTTTGATTAATGTCTCGATGCCGTATATGGTTAGGAAAAATGAATGAAATTTGAAATCAGGGGTGATGTGAAATAAGTATTCACAATAAAGATAAAATGAATTACCAAAATAACAAATAGATTTTGAAAAGAATGGAATAGAATTAAAAATGGTTTAGCAAAAATTGGGTTTTGTGGAATATTAGCATCTGAATTTATGTGTTGCAAGTTTATATTTGTGTAAGAGGTAGTGACAGTGATTTGTTGAATAATCGTGTTGTAAAATGTGATGTGTGTTGCTCCAACAGGAAATTCGGACGACTTATAAGTCTCCAGGTAGCACCAAGAATTATCTTTGTTAGTTTGCACAATGGCAGGAAATTACCTTTTTTGTTGGTGACAGATTGGTAGTTGTGTATTGTCGGAGGAAGCCAGAAAAATTCCAGAAATAATTTTAAGCCGTAAGAAGCAAAAATAAAGTTAAGCAAATCAACGTGTGTAAAATCATTGCTCAGGTAATATATGTCTAATCGTTGTGTATTTTTGTATGTGACGTCTAAGAAATCAGCAATTTTATATGTATATGTAAGGTGTGTAAAATCACTGCTCAGGTAAAAGATGTCTTACCGTTGTGTATGTTTGTATGTAACATGGTACAATAAAAAGGTAAGGTAGAGGTAACAGCTGATTACAATTTTTTTCTAAGTGTGCCCGACTTCTGCCAATGTTGTGTATGTATTTATTGTTTTGAAAAATGAAAAAAAAATATATATTTTCACAACCAATGATTGGAAGACACATGAATTGTATCTCGCGCATTAAAGCTATTAACCAATATAGCCATGAAATTGAATGTTTGAACAGTTAGGATCATATTTTTGAGAGAAAAATCGAGACATTTTATTCATTTTTTCGCGCTTTTTAACTCATTTTAAAAATGAGGAAAAATATGAAAAAAAAAATGAAAACAATAATTTTGAATGAGTCTCACAGGAAGCGGGCATAGCCTCAGGGCTGTATTTTTGTAGTTTTACGAAGCCTCCTTATTGTACCATGGTATGTAAGGTCTAAGAAATTGCCAATTTTAAGAAAGAAAGAAAGAGAAAAAATTATAAGTCAACAAATTCAAGTAAAGTACCACGTTTAATTTAACAAAGGATAGGAGGTGTTGCGATCATCTTGAGTCCTTGTGATTCTATTCTATTTGTTAGTTCTGGAACCTCTAGTAGAATTTTATGACAAATAAATTTGTAGAACATTAAGATAAGCTACGATGCTCTTTTAAGTTTTTAATATTTTGACAAAAATTTGATATTTGTTACCTTGTTAGTGGATTTAAAATTTCTACCAACGTCTCTGTATAAGTTAATTTTGAGGAATCTTAATTCGGATATTTTAAAATTAATTTTCAATTTCATAATCTATTGAGTTTTTTGTAATTATTTCTGTGTGTTGCATATTGTTATTTTAATAATACCTCATTTACAATTTTTACAGGTTATTTTGTTGAAATTATTAATGGGCTCGCCAAATTCGATTAACATACGCAATGTGGTATGGCATGGTTTCCCAAAACCCCATGAAATTCCTGATTACTACGAAACTGTTTTATTTACAACAATATGCACATTGGGTTTTAAATTCGAGGAAATAAAATACGTAATTAAAGAACGGCCTTTGGTTAAAGATTTTCTGCAGCCTCTACAGCACATAGATGATAAATTTAAGTCGAAAATAGTTGATATTAAAACCCATGAAGAGAATATGAAAAATATTCATAATGAGTTCGCCAAAGATTATATAGAATTTTGGACGACTATTTGTAAATATTATCAAGAGGGCCGATATATTAATATGATTATATTAATATTACCACAAATTGAGCTATTGCTTCGTTTGCATTATGGACAAGTCAACAATGTGGATATAAATGCCAAATTGGATGAATATTATATCACCATGGATACAATATTTGAGGCAGAAATTGTAAATTGCAAAACTGGCGATAAGGAATGTGATTGCCAGCCAACAGAATATTGGATTTTGATTTATATCCACAATTTGAAGGGACTTTTCATTTGATGTATGATATATTTTTCAGTCCAAATGGGTGCCGTTTAAGAGACAAAGTTAGTCATGGTGAAGTGGATTATTTAGCGCTTAATAACTCTGAGTTGGCTTCCATCACATTGCACATTTTCCTGAATTTATTAGAGCCTTTAGATTTCAACAGTCTTTTCAATAATGAAAGTAAATTACATTTGAATAGTGTAAACAAATATTTATTAAAAGAGGTGCATGGAAGCTAAATAAATTCAAAAATGTAATTTTGCAAAATGACTTCAGGTGACAACTTTCAGGTTATATTAAATTTGCCAACCAGAAAAGTTTTGATATTTCAAAGACCTAACAAAGAATCTGAACTTATGTTGCTAATGAAAGTGATACTGGATAATATCGGGTGTACACTCGATAACTATCAGGAAGCCATTGAAATACGTACAGCACAATTAGCCCAACGTGAACTTCATTCGAAGAGAAGAAAAACTTTGGAGAAAATGCAAATGTCGTTACCACAAATCTACTCTACTCTGGCAGTGATGTTTAAATCTCTAATCAATTTGTTTAATTTACTACAAAGCAATCACCAATTAGTTTTTAAAGAAGCGGATATATTTGATAAAACCTTAAGGTAATAAAATAGAGTATATATTTTGGATGTATTTATTTAATATATTTATTTGCAGATATCTAAAACACTCAAGAACAGTATCAGAAAATATGGTCAAGTATTCTCATTATGAAAGTAATGAATGGATTAAAGCATTGGATTTGTGTCGTAAATTTCAAGAATTTTACAATAAATGGTTTATGTTTTCAACAAGCTGACCAAAATAATGAGTATGTGAATTAACATCATCAATACGATATTGTGGACCTATATAGACAAATCTATGTCTGAGGGTAAAGTACTCACAAGGAACTTCTTGTGTGGATTTTCAGGTAATTCCATTGGAAAATGTGGATAAAATCATCAAAATACCGAATATCAGTGGGTACCGTTATATGATATCGTCGACCTATATAGATAATTCTCTTCCGAGGTATAAAGTACCCACAAGGAACTCCTTGTGTGGATTTTCAGACAATTCCCCCGTTATATGGGGGATATACGAAATCGTTGATCTATATAGACAATCCTCTTTCAGGGGGTGAAATACTCATAAGGGTCTCCTTGTGTGGAATTTCAGACAATTCGATTTGAAAAATGTGGCTTAATATGTATACTTTGTTCAGTCTAAAATGATTATTTCAATGAGTTACAAACGGAATGACGAACTTAATATACCCTCCATACTATGTATGGTGGAGGGTATAACAATATAAGCAGTATACATTTTTTTTTAGTCTGTGAGTTCATAATTTTTATCTATATATGCAATCGTAAACTCCATATTTCTTCTTACCAAAAGTTGGAACAAACCATCACTTAACTGATAAAAATTTAGCCCTACGCAAATATACCCAAATTGAGTGAAGTGGCCCACCGAATATAGTTTCTGTAAGACTCCAAACAAGCCCCCTAACGTGTTTCATAATCGTCGCAACGAATTTGTAGCCGTGACCAAAACCTTATTTCGATTGGATACAAAGAATTGACCATATACATCAATAGATGTCGCTGAAAACTTTCATGATTCTTGTATGGAAACCCGTCAACAGGTTATATGAAACCAAGGGAGACACCGGGCAGAATAGAAAACACTAACCACACACTGCCGAGAAATATTAACGGAATACACAGAGCAAGGACGGTCAGAAGAAAAAAATAGAAATAATACTATGAAAAGCCCAACCTGTTGAAATTACGATAGAGTTATTAAAAATTAAGCTTTGAAAATGCACACAGGCATTGATATTATTCTAAGGATGTTTGATATTGAAAAGATTGGATCACGCTTAGACGAAGACCCAATATAACGATACCTCCTCATGGAGGTTTCTAGTCCAATATAAATAAATCTCCTGATTTGATGTATTTTGAGGGTTCGACCTATTTTTCAATCAAATTAACTGTAATTTTAAATTTTGGGCTCTCAAGGGTTGTATATCTCTTTGAAATTTTCAATATAGGTCCACCTTTTGTGATTTTCGGTATTTTGAAGGGTTCGGTCTCTATTTCCAATAAAATCAGCTGTAATTTAACATTTCAGGTTCTCTGTTTAACTCCTTGTAAAAATATTCAACATGGCCATATAAAGGACTTAAGGGATTTTGAGGATAGCCGATTTGGCCAGGTTTCGCATAGTGGTGAAATCAGCTTGATAAAGCAACCCCACACTGCTTAATAAAGCAACCCCACACCCTGCCTATTGGGTATAAACTACAGCATTGTTGGAACCAAAAGGAACTTCATCCAATTTCCATTATAGATACGATACGATCTAGAGGCATCTGAAAATAGGATAAGTGTTGTTGATGGAACACTAAAAAGGCAAACCCATCAAAGGGGAGTTTCTCGCCTTGATTGTGGAGTTTCCTTCAGGTTTTTGTAATTTGTATACTCTTCATGGAGGGTAAATTAAGTTAGACATTCCATTTGTAAAACCTCGAAATATAAATTTAAGACCCCACAAATTAGACCTATTCTTGATCAACATAAAATCCAATATCGATTTAGCGATGTCCGTCCGTCTGTGGAAATCACTCTAGATACCAAATTAAATGAAGTGGGTTAATAAAATTTACTCAGATGTGTGTTAGGTCTGCAGGACTGATAATGGACTATATAAGTTCACGTTTTGTTATAGCCTCCATACAATTTTTTTTAAGAAACATCCTTGTTTAGAGCTGACAGTCCTCATATTACTATACCTCCAGATATTCGGTACTATAATGGTTTGTTGCAAGCTTTTCACTCGAAATATTTCAAATATAGAATTTGAAGTTCCTAATAGGTACAACATCCTATGGCAGAAAATTGCATATGGGGGCCCACGTATTCATATAGCCCCCATATAATGGTACCTATCTATATTCGGTATTTTGATAATTTTAGATATATTATTCACTGGAATTCTATGAAATTTCGTATTTTAAGTTACTAATGGTTACTACAGCCAGTCACCGTCAGAATTGTCTATACAGGCCCAAGTCTTCATATAACCCTCATGTAATGGTATCTACCTATATTCAGTATTTTCATAATTTTAGCGGCATTATTCACCGAAATTCTCTCAAATTTCGTATTTAAAGTTACTAATTGGGTACTACAGATGGTCACCGAAAATAATCTATGCCTCCCTATATTCGGTATTTTGATGATTTTAGTGACATTATTTACCGGAATTGTATCAAATTTCGTATTTGAAGTTCCTAATGTGACTTACGACGGAATTGTCTTGCATTTCGTATTTTAGTATCGCAATTACCTATGAAAAAATTCATATACAAATCCACGTATTCGCATAGACCCCGATTTAACGGAACTCCCTATATTCCGTATATTTGATATGACATATATTTTTCATCGGAATTGTATAAAAAAATTGCAAATTCCATCCATTCGTCCCCGCCGAAGATACTGCTTTTTTACTTGTTAACAGAATATTTGATTTAGAACTCGGTCATGAACGTTTATAAGGACATGCAACCAGATTAGAACGGGATATTTAAGTTGTCTCTTGATGGTGCATCAACAATTGAGCCATCCATTTCACAACGGGTAGGTGAAGAGGTCATATCAGGTCCGACTGAGTAGGAAATCAGTTCCGACGGGAATGATGAACCTATTTGTAATGTATTGATGGTTGAGCACCTCATCGATGGATGGCCTCGAATTTGGAAAGAAGTTCTAGACTTTCAGTGCCTTTGTCATCCAATCTCCTTCATAAAGCCCACGACCTTTATTTAAAATTAAAAGACTTAACAAATTAATAGTTTGCAATTTGTCATTTTCAAGTCTGGAAATCTGTCAAAAGATTTCCACTCTTTCAGTTTATATTTTAAAGTAGTTTCAAACATTGAAATAGTCCAATATTTTAAAACTAGTCTTTAAGTTTTTTAAGAATGATTTTAATGAACTCAAACAACAGAAATCGTACATCTTTTTAGGTTCTCCGAAAAAATTTTATATTGAAGGCTTTAAAATATTTTGATTGGTTAAATTTATATTAAAAAGTAAACATGTTAATTAAAATTTCCCAATTGTTTATATCGTCGCAATCACTTTTGTAATAATTAATATCTCCCATTAATATTAACATCAATGATATTAATTTTTTAATATTTAATACATACATATATGTGTAGAGATGTAGGCCGGCTATTAAGGCTGCAATCACACACACATACAATCCGCGCCTTTCAATTAAGTAGCATAAAATAAGCCCTACCTGGATGTTTGTCATCACCAATATTTAATTGATTTTCAATAAATTATCAGAGTGGACAAAGCTCTTTATGAGTGCGTAAGTAAATATATTTATACAATATTTTTATTGATATCCAATGCTATGAAATATTGTAATTAAAAGTTAATTTATGTTCTTAACATGTGGTAAATAAATAAATGTTTGCATTTAAATTCTGTAAAAGAGAAAATGTTGTGACAACCTTTATCGTTAAAACTACAGACTTGGCAATTACCTAATGACTTTATGTGCTGTAATTTTCATACAGATTCCATATCATTGTGGAGATTTTAAAAATTAGCTTTATCTCATCCATATACATCAGCATTGAGCCCTTTTAAAACGCCTACTAAAGTTACTTCAACATATATATAAAACGTACAGTTATTATAAATTCCAACCATAACAATTACTAAAACATACTACATTGACATTGAAATTCAAAGTTCCAACATATATTTTTCTGCTGTAGTTTTTCTGAGCTCCATTTCCTCCGAATGTCAACCAACATCTTTGATATCATAAAACTTAATAAAAAAATAAGTTTTTATTATTCGGTGTTTAAATTTAACTGCTTTATTGTAGAACTTTTTTTGGTTTGGCATTCATTCAACAACTACAATCACGCGCATCTCATTTACTTCGTTCGTGGTTTCATCCCTTTTGTCGTCAACGAAAGGGGGGGTATTAGCAGCTTTTATGGATATGAAGATTTTTATGAACATTTCTATTGGCTTTTTTTTGTATGCTGTGTTCGGCAAGTTTGTGAACTTGCGCCATTTTTATGAGCGGAATTTTGAATTAAATTTAACCACTCTTTTATGATGCAATTGCATTGCATTAGTCCTTATTTTCGGTGCAGATGTTAGTAAATGGCGGCAGTAACAAGGCGATAAATGAATTTGTCGTTACTATTATTTTCTTTCTTTTTGTTGCTGAAAATTAAGTAAATTTTTGTGTAAAATGATTGGATTAGTGTTAATGACAGTTTTATTGTCTTTTGTTAATTGTTCCCTTTTTATATGAATCTCTGTAATGGTATTTGTGAAAATTGTGAAGTTTAAAAGGGAGCTTTCACAAAGGCCTTTAGATGATGTAGAGTAAATGTAATATTATAGCCCAACAATAATTCTAGGAGTTCACTTTCAGTCAATGGAAATAAAAATACTTTTCGGATTTTTTTATTGGCATTCCAGCAAAATATGTCTGTCTGTACGTCTCTAAGAAATGTTAAAGCCTTTAGTCACACAGAAATAATCCTGTAAACTGACAATGACAAAACAAGTAACAAGTAAAAAAGCTGTAAGTTCGGCTGGGCCGATCTTTGAATACCCTCCACCATTTGGAACAAATTTGCCAATTTTTCAAAAAATAAATAAATAAAATAAGTTAAAAATTCTGTTAAAATCTTAAAAATACCGAATGTAGTCATTATATTAGGATCTATACGACGACGTGGACCTGCATAGGTAATTACAATATTCA